CTACAATTAATATCTGCAAGACACCACAGCAAACCAACACATACGACTGTGGAATATTTGTTTTGACAATAGCAAATACCATTATTAACAACATCAAGACTAATGCCTCTTTCTCATTGGAGAAGGTATGTCTACCAGAATCATTAGACAAAACTGACCTCATATCTAAGCGATCATTATTTGCTTATACAATAAACAACAGAAGTGTCATTAAAACTGAAGATTTGGTTGCTCTTTTCAATACAAAAATCGTTCTCTGCCAGGGCCGGTTTAACCCATACGCGAACTACGCGGCCGCATATGCAACGGAACATTTTTTTTTTAGCAACATAATTTTGTTTATTTTCGCTCAGAGTTCAAGTATTCAAAGCACCACAATAAAGGCATTTATTCTGTTTGTACCAACAGCACTTGAAAATGCGTATATTGGCAGCAATGCGTTTATAAGCAAGCGCACAGCACCACTTGTCACAACACAACAAGAAACTTCCCCCTCTTTTCCCTCCCTTCCCTCCCTTCTACTTTCTACTTCTGATAACTCTCCCCCTGGAGCAGAGCATTATGGCATTATGTTGTATTGTATTTAACTCTTTTAGTTGTATACTTCGCTTAAACTAGTTGGCACTTCCCCAACAGACGGGGCGCTAGTCGCCACAGTCATATATAGACTTGGACTTTTGTATACGTACACCTGTTCTGAACCAGATTGATACCGACTCAGCAATTAAAGAATTTTCCAAGATCAAAGCTAGGAGAATTAATTTTTACTGCTAAGAGCTTTTGAACTGTTCAAATTGAAAATATTTTATTCTTTTTGTCAAGGTAATAAATTTGGTTTTTCATGTTTTCTACATGTTTAATGTGTTCAATTAAAAATTCCTCTCTTGTCATCTACCTACGCCTGTTTTTAATTGTAATAGGCTTTATAAAAACTTATATTGTATCCAAGTTATCCTGTAAAAATTGTTTTCACATTTAGAAATAAAATGTTAACTTAGGCCGTGATGCTCGTCGAGCATGACGTAACGATAGACGACGGCAATGACGTAGGTATTTGTTTATTTATTTTCCAAGGAAATATTAAAACAAGCAGCTGATCACAAACGGCAAACATTGCGCCATTGCCGTCTTCTATAGTGACGTTATGCTTGACGAGCATTGAACATTACGGACTGTTTTTTTAGTGTGGCCTTGGTTTTGCTAAAGTTTATATGATGAGTAAAAGTGTAAAAATGTTAAATTTCTGGGAATAATAAACAGTCTTTTATTGCAAGTATTCTTCTAACCTAAACTTATAAAAAAGTTCTTCCCAAAATCGTTGGGAAAAAAATCACAAATATAGTTTAGTAATGTTCATGGGTTGTGGGGGGAGTGGGTGGGGTGGTAAGGGGGATTCTAAGTGGCGCTGATTCGGGTGTTCGCTTAACTCTAAAAAATTCCTAGAACCGGCCCTGTTCTCTGCACTGAAACAACATGCAATGAACATGAAATACAGGACAAAAACATTGGAGAAAACAAAAACCCATCATCAGAACCCACAAATGCTTCTACTAATGTGTGGAATATTGTAACAACAAAGATTCGTAAAAATAAAAAAACTTCTAGACTTAACTACAATAATCATAGAAATACTACTGAACATAAAAAAAACTCTTAGGACCTCAAACCACTTTAGTATTCTCTCCAGTTTGGACGAGGAAACTAAATCTGAAACAACTAACTGAATTTATTTATTTTCCTATTTTCGGGAATAAATGTTATATTTTTAAGTAGACATTTCAGTGTAAATCCAATCAGTCAAATGGAAATTCGCTTAGTCTGCAGGTTTGCTGCGGCGGGGGTAGTCACAAACATAGAATAATAAATAAATAATAAATAGGAAATTATTTTCATTTCCTGGTTCTTGGTTTTTAATGTAGGTACATAATGATGCAAGATATGCAGATTTGTTAATTATTAATTTAAGATAGATTTAGTTGACGCCATTCAATGTACAAAACTGTACTTTATGAATAAAGCATATTTGATTTGATTTTAATAAATATTTCATAGTTAATTTGTCGATAGTGTAATGCAGGTTAATCTTATGTATAATTCATTACAAGGACCAACCACCAAACCACGCGTTAATTGTGGTAAAGGAAGCAAAATACAGGATTAATTTTAGTTAAGAGATAACCTTCTGGTTACTTTTACCAAAAACATTAGGCTATTTTAATAAATTTATCATACCAATTTTGTACACACCCTTTTTAGTACTTAGAGAAAACACAATAATCCCTCATGATACTGGTTGATGATCCTCCTTATTTTTGCCAGATTAAAACGTTTCTTGAAGTTGAGGGTTGAGTAAAAACTTATATTTCATCGCAGTTTCTTATTATGATTATTTTCTTTCCACGGTGGCAAATTTGATCCCTTTGTCTAAAAGCCATGGAACCCTTTTAAACTGTACGGTACCAAAGTTCTAGAGGATATCAAAATACAACCACCATTGCATATGTAATTTCAAGCTTTAATTTGATACCAAAATCAGTGTTATACAACAACAGTTTTTTCTGTAGCTCTCAATAACCCAACATTTATCTATTTCTTTGTGTATGTAGGTACCGTAAAATGGGGTGAATAGAAACAACAGGGTGAATAGAAACAAAACTTCAATGAATGATTCACATTTTTATAACTTTGTTATACATTGACTTTATATAAGGGAATTATTTTCCCCCATTATAACCATATCCTATCTACCTGGGAAAAATTAGTTTAGCATATTGGTATCACTGCTTCGGATGTTGGATGATGCGAAACATCATTTGAAAATTTTTGCGAAAAACATTCTTTTCAAAACTTTCTCTCTAAGTATGAACCTATTACATGTATTTATGTTAATAACCATTTTTTATATTGTCTTAGGTATCTTAAAACCAAGTGTGTAATAGATTAGCCTTAGAATAAACTATATTTTTTTACTTTATTTTTAATTTAGGTTATGTCATGATTTTGCAAAACCAGGGTGAATAGAAACACTTTTTTTTAACCAGTGGTGCAAATAAAGGTTGACCTGAAAACCCCCCAAAAAAGAAAAAAAATACCAGAGATGAAGATGATTCTACATCAGTCACACTGGAAGAAAGTGACAAAGACGAACAATTTGATGAAGAAGAACCAGCATACCTAGCTCAAGACATCAGTGAGTCTTCAAAGTTGTCCCTTCATGATCATGTAATTGTCAAAGTAATGGGGAAAAACAAAACTTGCTATCGTTTATATGTTGCAAAAGTTATTGAATTTGACGAGGAAGGATAAATAGGAAGAATTATCAAGAAAATTGCGCAAACCAACAAGTTCTGAGAGACAGATTAAGAGGCCCTCTTCAAAGTCGATGACGTAGTACGATCGGCTTCCAACTCCCAAGCCGTGTACAACTTGTAGTTTTAAGGGAGTGTTGTATTTTGAGGATGATTTGTCTGATTTTACTCTTCATTTAGTTGGTTTCTATGTAAGATTTTGTTACTCTGATTTCACCCATTGTCATTTATGTTCTCCGATTTGTTTGGATAAGGGTTTATGAAAACGACGTTTTTATACTTCGTACTTATAAATAAATGTGTTAATTAACTTTAAATATTTTTATTTACAACAACCTAAGCTAACAAGCATAAATTTCATGTTTCTATTGCCCCTGGTAAGTGAGGAAAAGCAACAATCATCAATTTAACACAGTGTTTCTATTCACCCCAAAGTGCGGGGTGAATGGAAACAGCCATATTTTATTTTTTTTCTGCTTAATGATTAAAAAGAAAAAAAAATTGATAACTGGTTTGAGTAGAGGAGTTCAAGACCGAAAATATGAGCTAGTGTTGAAAATTTAAAAATTAAAAATATCGGTTTTACAGAAGCTTAAAAGTCAAAAAGTGTTTCTATTCACCCCATTCTACGGTATTAAAAGAACATACTTCAGATTCAGTTAAGCCTAAAATTATTCAAAGATCCCGTGGGTGATAACATAGGTGCCAAAAAGATATTTTTTTGCTTTTAAGATTAATAATTAACTGATAAAGAAGCGGATGAAGCAACAGTCTGATCTAGAGTTAAGTTCACAAGAACAGTGGGAATGAAGCTGGTAATGCCTCTCACATTGAACAAATCCAAAACTGGGTTCATAGGCAAGACTAGCAACTTGCCGTAGAACGAAGAGGAGTATTGGTGTTAGCTTCGAACTTACCATTCCCGGAGCTCACATTGAGCATACACCATACCGGAGCTCACAATGAGCATACACACTTCCGGAGCTCACATTGTGCATACACACTGCTGGAGCTCACATTGTGCTAATACACTTCCGGAGCTCACATTGAGCATACACACTGCCGGAGCTCACATTGACCATACACACTTCCGGAGCTCAGATCGACTTACATACCGGAGCTCACATTGCATTACAAAATCCAAGTTGTAAATTTTTATCAAACCGTGAGTTTTAAGTGTCCACAGTTAAGTACAAAACATCTTTTTAAAAAGTGACATATATTTTCTTTAAATAACCTCTCCTTCTACCGGACCTCACATTACTGTGTAATACCATGGAGCTCACATTGGTTGCCAAACGCGTATGTGTGTGTCTGTGTGTGTGTGTCTGTTAGCGCGATAACTTGAGCAAAAATTATACGATTTTGATGAAATCTGGTACAAACGTGTAAACCTGCGTTTATTCAAACGCATTTGCGAACCAGCATAATTGGACTATGGGAACGGGTTTATGGGGGTTTTATGGGGAAAATGAATGTTTCCCATTTCTGAAACACAACATTTCATTATTTATTTCCAAACCATTTTGTAGCACTTTTAGTTATACCAAAAAATATATAATTTGTATATCAAAGCGTTGATAAATGCCCAACGGTTACAAAGATTATTCCAAAAATTGTAAATTTAAAATTCTCATGTTATTTTTATGAAGGATAAATAAACAGTTGTAGTTTGCTTGTTTATGGATATATTTCAATCAAATTTTGCAAATTTATTTATTTTATACTAAGCTATCAAGATTCCAATAACAAACCACCTCAATACCTTCCCTGTAGCAGCAATCCTAAGTCCTCACTAAAATTAATGAAGATAGCTGTAGCAAACATCTTTGTCGTGACTAGTCGTAACAGTTAAATTGTAAATTATGTTTTCACATTCAGTTTTCTAATTCTATTTCACTATTTTGATAACACGTAGTAGTTATCATATAAGATTATTGAGTTAACTGTTAACTGTAACACGTAGCCTACATACATAGGCCTATAGGCTCATAAATTCTTCAACTACATGAATGTTTCTCGCCAAGCCAGGAGATGACAGTACTGATGCCCTCGCCTGTAGTTGCACTCACCTTGGGTCAAGAAAAGTTTGTTAAGTCTTATATTGATGTATTTATAAAGTAAAATTTGTGGTATTTCCCAAACAATACAAGATTTTTACCTTTACTGGAGAAGAAGCTCATTATTGTAATCAGAAATTAATAAAAACCTATTTTTTATATTTGCAGTATAGTACTTATATAAATATCAATTTTATTGGAGAGAGGTTTGGAAACTAATAGTCTTCTATTTCCATAGGTTTATTGATAACATTTCTGCTGTTCATCCTTGTTGTCAATGCGATGGTGGAGAAAGAGTTTTTGTAGGGCAGGGCAGGAGTTCTCTTAGTCAGAGAGAATTCTCTACTGGTAAACTCAGCCTTTCAGATGATATCGATAGCTAAACTTATAGCTAAAGGTACCTCTCTAAATTTTCACCAAAATCATCAAACTTAAATTATATTGTTTGCTGGTTGCTCAATCCTAATTGATGGAAACTGGTAAAAGTTGAAAGAGTACTTCATCATTCTTCCCAATTTTCTAGTTTGTTCTCAACATGACTAGTACAATATTTACAAATCTATTTAGTTTGCAATACCCTTAGTATCTGAAATCAATACTTTTCAAATTCCCTGCTATTTTTTCAAATGTTTGAAGAGCTTTACAAAATAAAAACTTACTAGCTTATACTTAAAAATCTGTTTAACTCCTTTGATATTTATGCCTGGATCTCAGGTAAAATAAAATTATATCCAGTGTCACCAGACTACTTACAGGAACTACTGATGTTAACCCTTTAGGGGTGTGTTGTATTTACTGTAAAATGTTCGACACCACTAAGTGTCTGTCTTATTCATTAATTTCTCTAAACTTGTAGTACTAACCTCAGCAATAGTAATATTCTGAGGTACCTCCTGCTTCAATCTGTTGTATTGGAGCATGAGCAAAGCTTCATTACGCATCTGCCTGTAAGATGCGTCCATTTTCGCCAGGACCATCATAATCTGTAACAACTATTACCATCAATGTACTGTGGCTGATTAATGAGGGGCCAGAAGTGTAACAGCAGCAATCTGAAATCTTTAAAATTATTTGTACTTGTGTATTTGTGTAATTATCTTTGTAACAACTAGATTTGTACTGGGGCGAAAAATGCGGGCAACGATGAAAAGCTCCGCTTAAGTCAGACAACGATGAATCTGGACACAGTGCACTCAAACGATGAACTTGGACACATTGGGTGTCCCAGTGCACATAAACGACGAACCTGGACACATTTTTAAGTTGTCCGGTATGTTGCACGACACGACGAAACTGGACACATTCAAAAGTTTCACAGATTAACGCTGCATGCAAACGACGAACACGGACACTCTAATTTTTTAACAGACTGTACACCAGGCTAAATCAAATACTCAGTCTCGCTCGGTTGTCTTTGTAAACCCTGAATGAGCTTCCTAATACAGAAATTCCGTGAATACACGTTATTGTTATAAGGCTTCTTTCAAATCGACTAATATACTGTGTTGTAGTGACTCATAGCTTAGCAAAAACATTGCACATTATAAATTCGGTAATTTAATTGCATGTTTATTTGGTCAGTGTAAAGTTTTGCTAGATATTAGTAAAAAATTACAGGCCTACGGGGCCTGTATACACCGTGTCCCAAAAAGAATGGATCAAATCTACAGCTTAATGTACAGGGTTATTACAAATGATGTTCATGATTTCAAACATATATAAAATATAGTTTTATTTGTTATACAAAGAAATCAAATGGTTACAACTTTTGAAAAACTCAAAAAGTTTCGACACAGATACACAGAACTGTAAATGCTCGATACGGGAACCCCTTGTGGTATTACAGATGTCAATAATGTAGTCAAGCTCTTGCTAGACTTTGAAAAGTGTGTCTTGATCTATTGTTTCGATAGCATTGGTAATCCGTTGCTGGATCTCAAGTATGCTATCTGATAATGGTGGTCTTATCTTTGATGTATCTCCACAAGAAAAAAATACAGGGGGTGATGTCCGGAGATCTTTTAGGCCAGTTCAGGGGTGTGTCATTATTCAGACCACCGAGCTCGTTCCATATCTCAGGCAGCACATTGTTAAGTTCAGCCCTACTACAAGTAACATTCAAATGCAGCCATTTCTCTTAAATTTCAAGTGTCACTTGCCAATATAGTGGTTACTAGGAGGATCATCGTTAAACCTGGTTCTAAAGTGTCGTTGCACACTAATAACAGATTGGTTAATGTAATATTCCAACTGGCAAAAAGCTTTCCTGCCTTCAAATTCAGCCATTACACAACACTTACAACAATTAACTTGACAAACAGCTGATATGCACCCAAACCAATGTAAATGAAACTTTATGAGTTTTTCTTTCCAATGGTACCAACTAAAATAGTCTTGAAATAAATTAACCCAGTAATAAATATAATAAAAATCAGGAACATCATTTGTAATAACCCTGTACGTCTTGCTAGGGGTTGTAGAAAAGTCAATTAGGCTCATTTTAAAGCTGTCATTTTAAAACTGTCATCTTAAGGTATTTTTAGTGCCCTTCAATATAGTAATTAGCTGTTCCATAGTGGTTGTTGGCACGTTTGAATTTTACAAACATGAAATTGCAATGGAGATGCAGTTGGAAGCACAATGTATTGAATGGTTTATAAAGACAAAATCTGTGGTGTGTGTGTGTTTTTTTTTGGGGGGGGGGTTTGTTAAGCAAAGAGATGCCTTTGAAAAAATATCTAATGAAAAACACCACAATGTGTGATTAGTGCTGAAATACTGCCTTAATTTTAATCGAGCAAATAACAACATGTAGAGGTTAGGCGGTCATACCATGGTAGGAAAAGCCTAGGAATTTAAGGAAAAAATCGTTTATCAAGTTAACTTTTGATTTTTAATAATAATTTTTTATGCCAGTTTAATTTGATCCATTCTTTTAGGACACCCGGTACAAAGAGGGCTAGCTCATTACGTTCGGCCCATTGTAATATAGCATTAAAAATATACTCCAGTATGACGTTTTCGTGGCGAAACAGCTGCAATAGAGCAGTTAAGTTGCTATGGATTATTATATTATTTTTAAATGTAACCTCGACTAAACCTCTTTCACAATGTGCTGTATGTTGTCTATCGTACCTACATAGGTTAAAATATTAATCCCAATTCATTTGAACCTTAATAACGCATCAAGCAGTTTCCTGATTAATTATTAATTACCTGATTTTCATATTGACAAAAATTGTTTTTTGCAAGATAATCACGTTTCGGTCTTTACGTTAGTTTAAATTGATCAACATCTGTTCGGCAAAATAAAATTATTGATATATTTAATATACAGGTGTAAGTCTTGTTTTCTCAGTCACTACTGGACTGATATACAAGATTTATGCCTCAAATTAAAAGAGATAATGCGTAGATGTGGCAAACTTCCTTAGAATTTACGTTTTTTCTAAGGGATACGACCTACAGCCTTTTAAAGGTCGAGTCAATACAATTCTTACAATTCTTATTGAATAATATAATACACAAAATCATTCGTCAGCTGTTTAATGTTTCTCAGAAATTTGTTTTTATTATTATAACCTCACTTTCAGTATTTAATTATTAATCTCGGAGTTCTTGTTTATAAACACACGATTTCGAACAAGGGAATAGTTATTTGTGTAACTTAATGGGCGAAGTAGCACTTTGCTGTACACGAGAGAAATGTTTACGCACGAGCCGTAGACGAGTGTGGAAAGTTTTTTGAGTGCAGCAAAAACAGTTTGCACTCACACACATTATATTTTTCAAAACTTTTATTATATAAGTATATACAGTAGATAGATCTAGATTTCAGACCAGCTAGTTAGCGCAATACCAAAATAAACTTAAATCAAACAGAGACCTATACTGTACCACTAAAGCATTGGCCACACTTCAATCCTCCAGGGAGCATTCATCCGCATTTTGGCAGAAGCGATCCGGGTGGACCGGAGCGGATCTGACAAGTGTAGCCACCTACCAGTACTTTCAAAATTTGGATGAGGATCGGGGGTTCCGGGAGTGCTCGGCTATTTCACATCACGTGGCTTCCTCGAGGATGAGTGGAATCATAGAACGAGTGTGTCTTTCCGAGTATCGTACAAAAGTAGCCACCACTTCTGATCGGAACGAAACAAAACAAATCGGACAAGTGTAGCCCTAGTTTAATTTTCACAGCAACTATACACCTCTAATTTATGAGGAATTGACATTTTGGATATCTATGTAGTCTACATCTGATTTACAAGGAAAATGTGTACAGTAAGTGTCAAAACTAACCTTCAGTAAATAAACTCTAAGCTTATCTATAATTGAATTGACCTTAACTTTCTGCAGCTGAGGTTCAGCCAGTATTGTGTAGAGCAAAACCCCGGCGGCTGCTATCTGACAAAGATTACTGGCATCTACCACAAACATCACCTTAGTGATATCTTGGTAGTAGTGACACCACATAGGTGCCATGGGACCACCCAGCTCTCGTATGGTTATCTAAAAAAATCACATACACAAGTAGTATAACACAATCCTCCAATGCCCAGCTCCCCCACTATAAAAGTTAGACAGTGTCCATAAACATCTCCATTTAACATTTAATAGTGTCCTGGTTGTAGTGATGTCACTTGGAACCATTAAACAATAAGAGTAGCCTGATCTGACATCAATATTTACTGGTTTATTTGATTTTACATACCAACGGACATCTCAAATTTTATAAGCTAGTCATAAATACATTTCTCTCAAACGACTGTAGGCCAACATAAAATTCAAAAAGATTTCATACAATAAATATGGCTACCCAGCAATAAATGAATACTAGTAAACCCAATGCTCGAAATCAAGCAATTGAATTAGGGTTAAGAATGAAAAGTAACAACTTAATTTGTTTTATAATTTTATTTTGTAACTGTAAAGAAAGCAGTCTGCATCATTTTATTAACTCTCTGTATACTATACTTTTGGTGAATACCCTGTCATCAGTTTTAATTTGATTTTTGGTATTTTATATAACCAACCTAAGAAACAATTTCACTTCAATCATAAAATCAAATGAAACATATTATTCATTCTGATAGCCCCTGGACTACGAATAATGACTTATATAGGCTTACCTCCGTCAGTAGTCCAAAATTGTGTCTTTTTCAACTAATGTTGTTCAAAGCTTACATGTTTCGTTGCACTGCAACATCGTCGGAGCTTTATGTCAAAAATATCAAATAATTTACACATAGAACAAAACACGGAACACGAAACATTTAAACACGTAACAACACGATAGCGCTATCATGACACGGCACGGTAGCGGTTGTAGGTAGAAGTCTCCCTACAAGGTAGACTTGTAGCCTTGTAGACTTGTAGGTAGAAGTCTACCTACAACCGCTGCCGTGCCGTGTCATGATAGCGCTATCGTGTTATTACGTGTTTAAATGTTTCGTGTTCCGTGTTTTGTTCGATGTGTAAATTATTTGATGTTTTTGACATAAAGCTCCGACGATGTTGCAGTGCAACGAAACATGTAAGCTTTGAACAACATTAGTTGAAAAAGACACAATTTTGGACTACTGACGGAGGTAAGCCTATAAGTCAAATAAAACAGATGCGATTTTAAAACAAATTATACCACATGTTATCCTTATGGGAGAAAATCACACTTTAAAGGAAGCCCCTGCCCAAACTAATCGAAACTTTAAAAAATCAATTGTGTTATAAAAAGAAATTTTAGAAGTAAAACAATCCGCCGTCATCACTTACCCATTTAAAACCGATTTATAATAATATGATTAATAAAACCATTTTAGCGAATTTCCCATATAGGGAATAAGCTATTACCGTAGGTCTCATGGTAAGACCCGGGACTGATTTACTTTTTCGTTTTAAAGTCCCCAGAGGCCAAATCATCCTCCGTTCAAATTCTTGTGCTAAATACTTGATGGGCAACATGATCAAGCACCTGATGGATGGCTTGTCTGTAAGCTGACCGTCAACAATTTCACTGATGTAATCTCGCAGGGACTGTCAGAGGATCCTGCCCCTGTTAACCCCTTTCGGAGTTATAAGCTATTTCCACACTCATGCCCTATTGTTTGCACCAAACACATGCCTCTTAAGCATGCCTTGACGCAGATGGACGCAAGTGACGCATGCGTCAAGGCATGCCCAAAATGAGTCAGAAGAAGCTCCATTCCATAACGCACAGCGTAGCGCTGGACGATCCACTAGCCTTGGATTTATGTGCGTTTTAACTTGCAACTGCTTTACATTTTTGTCAAGTCGTCCGTGTTGTAGTTATTTGAAGCATATTGAATGAATAACTAAGAAACCTCAGAATTCATAGAAGATTATCGCTCTCACATATGTTTTTGGGACATACGGAGTAATAAAATAAAAAAAGATTTAAATTAACTAAAATAAAATAAGAAAATGTTGAGTTTTAGAGTACTTTTTTATCCACATTGTCCGCCATGATTTCTTACGTTTTGGAACTTTTGTTAAGGTTAAAATATGCCAAACCATCCCTCATATCAGAATAGTGTCGTTTTCATCTAATTAGGAAAAGGTATCTGAGAAGGTAGGAATGTGACGTATGAGTGTGGACACTCAAGGCACATGCAATACCGCTTGCGTTGATTGTGTTGAATTGAAAGCTGTAAGGCAGATTGAAATTGAAAGCGCACGAGTGTGGACGTAGCTATTTTGTCAAGTATCATGCAGTTAGAACTGAGTAAAAAAGGGAGAGTGCAATGTTTTAGTAAAATACTGATTAAAAATGTAATTTATGAAATAAATGCCTATCATTGTATTTGAATTGATCTACATAAAATTTCCTTTTATATGACACTAATTTTAAATATAAAATATTTTATAGCAATTTCCAATGCATACATGCATTTTTTATAGAAACATATTTTTTGAAACCAAACCTTGATTTTTTCAATCTATTTCTTGGTCAAATTCATAAATAGTATTCAATTCCTTAATTACAAAATTTATTTGGTTTATATATAGATAAAATCCTTCATTTTATAGCTTTTTTTTGTTGAGGCCTAATACAATTTTGGTGCAATAATTGTAATAGTACTGTGTACTAAGTTATGGTGTTGTGAGTATTGAAATAAAAGGGAAATTGTATTCTAAGCATGAAATATAATTTTTCCAATCAACTATAAAAAAGGAAAGAATTAGGTTATTCAATAATAATGTAACATTTTTCTTTTCTTTTATTCCATTATGCGTGAGGCAGGCGCTGCTCGTCTTTAGTCTTTCGTATCCTGCTGACGCACTAGGACGGGCGCCCGTCTGTAGGCGGAAATGGGTTAAGGCTGGCACCAACACATTGGTAGCGTCTAGAATGGGACTAATTGTCTCGGCTTGTGACCAGAACATGCGTTGTAGGAGACGCTTCAGACAAGCAGCCCAAGTACTGGTGGACTCAAGAGATCTCGGGACTCCGGAAAGCCAGACAAGCCGCAATGATATCTAGAAGAATCCCGGATTTTGAGGCTAAGTCCCATCCTACAGGGCCACGAGGAAAGCTCTCTGCCATAAACTCCTTGTCAAACTCTTGGCAGCAGAGAGGAGGGCGATCCTCTAGAGACAAGGCTATATCAGTAAGGAAACTGAAATAATAGAAGAGTGCTTCTGCACTTACCCGATGTGGCAATTAAGAGAACTAGGAACAAGAAACTACAGGATAATTGTCTGGCAGACTCATCAGGCATGTCCAACTGTACATATCTTTTGTAAAAATCTGTCCATTATTAATGGAGGAGTAGTGTTTTGTAGAAATCGCCTTCACACATAAGGATATAATGTTTAACAGTAACAATAAATATATATGTATGGATATATAAATAACGATAACAACAAACAAATATATACCAACAATAACAAAATATACGTATTGTGGATTCTACACCTGATATATCAAATGTTGTCCAACTGTGTTGTAATTGTAAGGTATGTGCAGCTTAATGGGACACCTGTTTAACGGTTTTTAATTTTCTTGCCCAATATTGGACATAAAGCTTTGGAGCTATTTGACGCAGTTAGTGAAGTTCTCAATAGTAAAGGAATTGATTGACCTGGCAATTTGTCGTGCCCAATCATACGATAATGCAAGTAATATGTCTGGATGTTACACAGGCCTTCAAGCACGCATAAAAGAACAGAATTCCCTCGCAGAGTACATTCCTTGTTCTGCCCACTCTCTAAATCTGGTTGGCACTAATGCGGCAGATTGTTGTCTTGAAAGCTCTTCATTCTTTTTGCTTCTACAGGAATTGTATACTTTTTTCACAATTCCACATGGCGATGGGAAGTTCTACAAAAGTCAAAGACAACCAACCAAGAAGCAGAAGCACAGTCACAAAAAGACTCTTCAAATGCCAAAGGTCTGAGTACCACAAGATGGTCCGCAAGAGATGATGCTTGCCAAGGACTTCTGAAACATTAAGATAAAATTTTAAGTGCCCTTTAAAACAATCGGTGAAGATTTTTCACAAAAACGACTGACCCGTGCAGAGGCCGATGGTCTATTTAACAAAATTAATACCCTAGACAGCAATTCTAGTACAATTCTGGGGATTCATTCTCCATCGTTAGAATGCAACGAATAAGAAATTACAAGCAGTCGAAACAGATTTAAAAACTGTTGTATGCCTCTACGAATCTCTTGTTGATCTTATTACAAAGACATCAAATGAGTTTGAACTTTTTGAGAGAAAGGCTAAAGAACTCAAAGATGAATATAGCTACCAGGCCGATTTGAAAAGAACCAAGAAAAGGAAGAGAAAAGACGATGAAATTTATGAAGATGGACTTGACTTCTGTTATTGATTCTTTTACTAGGTTCAAATCAAGAATGAAAGTGTGAACAAAATACTTACTACTGTACCAAACTTAACTAATTAAAAATTTTATATTATTTTTTTCAGTAAAGTATGTAATTTTTTTCTTTTTGATTTAGGTGTTTTTTGTAAATAGAAAAAATTGTATAGGTAAAAATTTTTCTTTCATTTCAAATCAAAGCCAATAGCACGTCTCTCCAGTGGATCTGACTAAAAGTGTTCAATGAAAAGCGTTATGAGAACCATTGTATACAAACAATTTTGTGTGCTGTTTTACGCTGCAAAACGGGATTGTAAAAATATTGATTGGATAAGAAAAGTTGTATTCCGTGAAGGCCTATCCAAGATGGTTTGCATAAAAACGGCGCAAAAAACGTCTGTTAAAAGGGGTCAAAAAAGTTATTTAATTTGTTGATGAAGCATGCAATATTACTGATTATTTTTCTTGTCTACAAAATCAGCTGACAGGGCATGTTGGTCATTGGGGTGATATTAGTGAGGTCAGGGAGTGCACTGAAAAGTGGGAGAGGGGGGCGGTGGCAAACTTTAATACGTCCCTGTTGGATAAGCTGTAAAAGTTTAGTATACCGTATATTTTGTAACAAAGATTCAACGTGGTAAAACCAGTATTAATGACTTTTGTTG